CTCTTTTGTCTCATCCTCAGCAGGACAGAGTGAGTTCTCCAGCTCCTCCACACGAGCCCGCAGCTTCGACAGCTCTTCCTCAGCAGCCTTTACCTTGTCCTCAGCATCGATCCCCCTCTTGCGTTGCACGGCCACTTCTTCCTTGCTCAGGTCCAGTTCCGCAGTCAGCTTAGTCAACCTCGACTAAGCAAAGGCGAGATCCCCCTACAACTTGGCCAGCTCGGCAGAAGAGCAGCCCTCATCCCTCAGGACTAGGGCGGTTGAGAAAACCTGCATCATTGCGGCCAGATCTTCAGTCAGCACCTATCTCTGAGCGTCATGGTTCACTTCGAGGACCACCTTCGCTTCCAAGGCCGACACAGCTGGTGACCTAGCACCATGGAAGAACCCATGATTGTGGTGACAAGGGGGGATGAGAAATCCCTCCTCAGAAAATCCCTTCATGAGGTCGACAATGGCGCCAGACGACTCAACTCTTGCCTTCTTCGCGGTCCCTTGCAATGTTGGGGAGTGGCTTCCTTGAGGTGACGACGAAGACCCCCTTTCCCCTTGATCTACGACAACCTGTTGCACCACTTGGGCAACCCTGCTCTTCCCGATTTTGGCCGCGACTCTGGAGGCCGCCAATTTCCTCACGCGCTCCTCGATGGACGACATGCTCCCTGCAAAACAAAACAGAAAAGAATTAGCAGACAAACAAACGAGGACCAAAATATCGAGTAGATCATCGCCCACCACCTAGAAAACAAAGAGCCTCCTCATCGGACGAACACTCAAGCAGAGCCTTCGTGTTTATCAACCTCCTCTGATGGCAAACATGCCCGTGGCTATCGAGGATAAAGTTACCGTCGGGCATCACCAGTTTGGCCTGGGGTAAGATGGCCACAAATGACACTATCTTCTGGTAGCCTACCAAGTCGTCCTCATCCATGGTCCCCGCCCGCATAATGTAGTGATCCGTGCCCTTTCTGAAGTGCTCATCTGTCCACTCCAAGGGCACCCTCGGCACCATGACATCTTCCCGCTGCCCGTTCACCTCACGGGCTTCTCACCGATACAGGGAGGCGCACGCCTCGTAAGAAATGGGTCGGACCATGAAGAAGCGCGCCTTGAAGTCCCTAACAGAATCCATTTATTCCCAGAAGAGTCACCTTGATTGCTTCAGCGAGATCCACCCTTGTCGGCCATCCACTGTTTGCCTCTGCAAGTGGAAAAGGCGAAAAACAACGATAAAGTGGCCCCGATTTCCAGATGCCGGTAAACGAGCTCGTACGCCCGGATGAAGGCTATGACATTGGGGTGCAGCTGCGAAGGAGCCAACCTCAACCAATTGAAGACGCCCAGCTGAAAGTCTGTGAAAGGCAGCCTAAGACCGGCCTCGCGAAAACAGAACTCATACATCGAGAACCTCATCTTCCCGTATGTTGAGCATATTCGATGGTGGTCCCGCGGTCGATACACCTGCCAACTAATAGGAGAGTCCACGCACCGGTCCTCGACAGTCATGTAAGCACCAGTATTATCATCGACAAAATAGGAAGGTGTACTTAGCAGTTCCTCGGCTACCCAGTCCTCGACCGGGCGAGTACGCGCCTCAGCAGCTGGAGCCTCTGGCTCCACATCGACTTCCATGGTCCCCGACACCCACAAAGTCATATTCACCTGAAAAGCAGAAGGAAATGGTGAATTCGACGTTCAAAACCAAATTCACCCCTCCACCACAGGTCAAGTAAAAGGGCGATGGGGACAACGACCACAACTCGGCGGCAGCTCGCGCTCACGCGGCGTCCCGTTCCGCCCAGGCGTCCTTCCCCGGGGCGTTCATCCAATCCCCTTCACCGTCCCCTGGGTATTCATATGACCCTATCCTACGTCCCCGTGGAATTCATCTAAAACTATGCTATGTCCCCAGGATCTCCATTATCATCATATCACTCGTCCCCGAGACATTCATCCTACAGCCCCAAGTGTCCTTGGGGACTTCATCCTAAACCTAAGGATACACCGCCGTATTCAACGGGAAACCCTCACCCTCCTTGGAGAGCATTCATCATGTCCCCGACGACGGCGTCAAATTTAAAGAAAATGGAAAAATAGAGGAGAAGAACTTACTGGATCGGAAGAAACAGCGGAGTACACAACGGATACTACGGTGGCGTTGGTGAACAACTACGTGTGCGGAAACTCAAACGTCGCGTGCGAAAGTGAGAGAAGGAAAAAAATGGTAAATGGGCAGGCACCTGCCTATTTATACACCCAGTGCAGGACTCGAAACGCCCTCGAGTACCCTAGGGTAGCCGCCCCACGTGACCCATTGACTGCTAGACACGTGGCCACCGCTAACAGTTACGCCCCTTCGTTCTCCCCCGTGAGCATAGACAGGCGAGGACACACTAACCTTCCCCCTCCTCGACCTGATAGCCCGACAAGACCGAGATCCCCATACTCCTGTGTCCTCAACACGGCAGACCGACAAAGATTCTTCCTCGCACCTTCTTCCTCCCCGACGCAGCTATCGTCAAGTCATCGCTCCTTCATTTTGGAGCTACGACTTGGGGGACTCTGGTTCTGGGCTGGTCCCAGACCTGCCCATCCGTCGGGCAGGCCCAGCCCAATACTATTCAGGGAAGGCCCAAAGTCCCAGCGTTGGGCACGACTCCAGACACGTCGGGCAGGCAGCCTCCCCCTGTCGGGCAGAACAACACGTCTTCCACACGTTCTCCACGTGCCCCCTCCGCGGAGACACGTCATTAGACAACTACCCACATCCGAAAGAGCAGGTCAACCCACCTTTCAGAGATCACGGGACAGTTGATCTAGGGCGAAGACCACGTACTGGTCTTCACTACGCCACGTAAGTCCTAACAGTCACTTGGGTTGGGCCTGACCATCTAGCCCAACGCAAGTGACCGTTGGTCCTGCGCTAGAATCTCACTATAAATACCCTCTTTCACTAGAGGGTCGGGTATTCAATTCTCTATCTCTCTTCTGTATTTGCTCTCACTCTAGTCTATTACTTACTTTGGCATCGGTGTGTCTTGCAGGTACACCCCCCTCCTCCTCCCTACTTCCGGAGAACAGCCTCAGATTGACGACGCGCGGCCGGTCACTGATTCCCTTTTGAACAAGTAAGATCAATTTTTATCACAAAAAGTATGCTATATTAAATATTTGTAACTTATTCTCGTATATAAAAATAATTCTATCAAAAATAGATTTTCCGTTTATAAAAATATTTGTAACTTATTCTCGTTTATAAAAAGTAATTGTATCAACAATAGACTGTTTTCGTTAATAAAAATATTTGTAATTTATTCAATTTTATAAATAAAAAAAAATAATTGTATCAACAATAGACTTTTTCCGTTAATAAAAATATTTGTAATTTATTCAATTTTATAAAAATAATTGTATCAATCATATAATTTTTCTCGTTTATAAGCAACTATCATGTATCTGCATATTGGATCAACATTATATTTTTCTTTATATAAATATTAATTTTGTTTTGACATTATTTATAAAAATATTTATAAAATAATTTAGTTTTATAAATATCAACTAATAACATAATATTTATAAATATTATTTTAATTGTATAAATCAATATAAATAAACACAATTTTTCATATATATAGAATCAACCCTATATATATATTTTTTCCACATATAAGTATTAATTTTGATTTGGATCAAAAGTATGCATAAAGACAGACTTATTAATAACACATTTTAATTGTATTCGAATCAATGTCATACTTATTCTCATTTACATATTTATTAATGATACACATTGAATTAATTTTATTATAACTAAATGATAAATAATACTAAATCATTTTTAATTTTATATTTAATAAAATTTAAAAACTATAAAGACTATCTTAATAAATTTGTAAGTTATAAAATTCCAAAATTAAAGATGAGGATTTGATAATAGGAATTGAACGTATTAGTAAAAACTCTTTACTTGCAATCAATAATGTCTTATTTATACAAAGTTCAAATAGTAACTTATTTAGCACAACAAATCAATAATGTCTGTAAAGTCCGAAACAGAGTTTTAGACAACTTAGTCAATTTTTCCAATTTTGTAAGGCGCATTGATATGGTTTACCACAATTTTCTATAGGCCTGTCATTGCCATGAAACAGCCAAAACCACTAAATTGCCAATAATTTTCAACTTATACATATTTTGATATTATTCTCATCATTAATTCATTTAATAATAAAATATAATACTTGCATGTCTAAATAAATATAAATTATTTTTAAAAAATAGCAATATTATATTAACTGATTATGCCATGATTGTCATTCACATTCCACATTATATAAGCAACCAAAGAATACAAAAAAGAGAACAAAACAAAGTAACCACTCTAAAATTTATAAGTCATTGTTAGAAAATTTAAGATCATATTACTTCTACATGCCAAGTTTCAAGTTTCAAACCAAAAGGCAAATGAAAGAAGAGGAAGATATTTCTTCACCCTTCTGGCTGCAAAACAGCAGCACCAACTGCTGCCATCTCCACCGTTCATACTCTATATTTTTCAGCTCCGACACGGTTGTTATAATCCTACTAGTAACTACACTTGCATTCATCTTAGTCGTAGTTCCTACATTGCACTCTTTCACTTCCCACATTTTCAAACCCAAAAGAATTGGGATTCTCTCAACCTTTTGCTTGTTCTCTTTGCCATATTTTGTGGCTTCCTTAGCAAAAACAATAACAACAACGAGAGCCTGCGTTCGTATGAAGATCACACCTTTTCAGATACAAACACACGACCAAGAATACAAGAAAGCAAACCCACGCCTTCTCTCTATGAATATTCAGAACATATAAATCCTACAAACCAAGTTTCTGTAAAATATGAAAACATCTAATAGTCTCAAAATGATATATCAATGATTAAGTATTAAATTTTTTGAAAAGTTAAGAGATTTTGTTTCTGACCTGAAAGCAAATGAAGCATGAATCATTATATAATTTCATGATTTTGTTGGAGGAGCTAAAACTATGAAATGAAGTTTCATAATGCATGTTTGTGACATCTCTTTAACTCCCATGCTGTCATAAATATCTGAAACCACTCCTCCATATATGTTGCTTGTACTGAATTTATCTGTAAACATTTAACTTTTTTAGCAAATGTAACACATGACTAATATTGCAATTCAACATTTATAACTAAAACTTACATAAGCTTGTGTAAACACTTTTCATAAACACTTCACATATCCATTCTATAAACACTTTTCGATTTAATAAACTTGTCAACAAAGCAACCTGCATTTCCATACCAAATTTTTTATGTAACAACCACACTGTCTCTATTAGATTAATGCCAGTGTCGTGTGTCAGTGTTGGACACAAAAATATTGGTGCTATGAGAAATCTTACCTTAGAAAAAGGCTCACCAACATAAGCAAAACTCATAAACTCCATCGCTGCAACTCATAAACTCCATTGCTGCAACTATACACTTTAATTTTGGATTAGTTGCCTATGTCATACAAAAAATAACTTTCATGGTTAGAAATTTCACTTTCAAGAATAACTTTCTCGGAAAATAATAATTAGAATCTTATTCTCGAGTATCATTTAGAAAACATGTTTGCAGCATTTTCGATTTCTACTTGAGCTGGTAGTTCTACCCTATGCCTTACAAAGAACACATGTGTCACAAGTACAAAACAGGCACTAAAAATGCCATACATTCCATGAAACAAGCAAAAAGGTTTAGAACAGAAAATATATGGCTTTAAAAAGTTCACCCACGGCTCACCTTCCCAGCAATATCAGGTACTGAACCATGTATAACCTCAGCAAGTGCAATACCTCCCTCGCCAATGTTGCAGCTGCAAAATACAGGATATCCTGTCAGGTGATATATTTGTCACTACTGAACTTCTTTGCCCAAAGCTCGAAACAAAACAAAGAAAAATCTGGATGTCAAGCCTAATCCTCCAATCAAGCCATCGCAAAGGTCACCGATTATGTCACCATAAAGATTAGGCATCACCAACATATCAAAAAGTGCAGGATTTTTCACAAGCTGCAGATGGTCCAAAAAGTAACAGTATTATTTTCAGATAGACAGAATTTCAAAATGTGGTTGTATTCCCTACACCAAATTGTCCAATATTACCATCATGCAACAATTCTCAATGACAACCTCCTCATACGTTATCTATGGATATTTTTCAGCAACCTCACGACAACACTAAAAATAATCCAAAATAAAATAACAATATTAGTATTCAAGAATATAATTAGAGACCGAATATTTATAGCCATTTTCTATAACAGACCTTCAGGAAAAGACCATCAGTCTTTTGCATAATATTGGCTCTGTGTATAGCAGAGACACATTCTCTTTCCTTTAGCACAGTTAGTAATTTGCTCAAAAGACGAAACTGCGGATGGAATCTTTAGTTGTGAAAATTATAAAACAAAAACAATTAACGAAATCGCATAATGCTATTTTCATCTGATGTATTGTTACCTTGTTTTTCTTTCACCAAAAGCTCTTCAAGTTCTAAAAACTAATTCAAATCTGCAGATTGATGTTGAGCAACTTCAAAGTCTTGCTCCCATATCATTAAAGCATCTAGGAATACATCATCAGTTACGAGAAATCTAGTATTAGTATACATGAAAAGCAACATATTTGATACTGCAGAAACCTTCCTGAAAAGAGGTTCTGCATAACAAAGAAAGTGAGCTCCTACACAAAAGTTTAATTTAAAGATTTTGGTTAATATATATGACATTGGTAGTAATGGAAATACTCATAGCAATGAATCATCTCTAAATATATCAGGTCTGGCATCAATATCACCAACCCCTCTTTCAGAAGCAGCTAGGCTTGTGCTCATTGGAGCAACATTCTTTTCTAACTCCATCTTCCATCCATCAACTCTTTCTTTCCATGCTACATTGCACATTCCTGCGTCCACGACCCTCATATTTGTTGCTCAAGAATTTAACCAAACGTCTCAAATCACAATACAACAACTAAAGGAAGAAACAAAAATAGTTATCATAAGAAAAATGTCTCAAATCACAATACAACAACAAAATTGTAATGTTGTGAATCCTTATAAAGGGAAAATAAGAATGTCATAACCAAAACTTGTTTGTTTAAGCTATCTTGTAGTCGTACTGAGGAACATAAACATTTAAATACAAATTACCATAGTAGAAGATCAGAGAAGAACATGGAAAAACACTAAAAAAGTGTTAGAATTAACACTAAAAAGTGTTAGAATTGAAAATTTGAAATATTGAATCTCTGCAAAATTGGTTAGTTAAAGATAACACCGCCACCCAAATGATGAAAAGATTTATAATGGAAACACCTTGATTTGTAATGAAACCAAGCTGCAAGAATGTCAAACACATTGAAAACAACAAATCATATTAGATCCATCTGATAATTGTGACAAACAGCAATAAAATTTATATCTCATATTTGGAAAATAATTCAGTCCCAACAATATGAATTCTAATTGAGACTACATAAATCTGCATGAAAAAATAAACATATTAGTCAAGATACGGTTGCACAGGTGCGAAGAGTATAATAATAGGAAATCAGATGCTTACGGTATAATTTTTCATTTTCTGGAAGATAGCTCGGCTGGTCAAAACAGCACTTGTAATAACACTAAGGTTAGGTTCGGTTAAAACAATATTAGATGCATTTCGACCTGCCTAAGTAAAGTAGATGAAGGATACATATTGGTACCCATTCTCAAGCGGCGACCTGTTTCCTTTCTTATAGTTAGTTGATCCCATGATTAAAATAAAGGAAATTACATAAACAAAAATTAGAAGGAGGATATTGGGTCAATAAACCCTTTTGTGAAACAATTATCCTTAAATATAAGTCTTGCATCAAAATATAAATTGAAATAGAAAGATGATCCAACACTTGTTTATGTGTAAATATAACTTACAGTCTTACAGCCCAGGAATCAATACCTTTAGGAATCAAATAATCTCCACTTCAATTTCGTGGGAACCCTTCCGTACTGAAAATCAGACTTCAATCAAATTAACTTCAACAACCATAACACAACACAAGAGTCACAACAACTATAATGCACTACTTGTTGGAAATAATGAAGATTTATTTCCATTAAAGTTGTTCTAAAATGACAAAGTGGGTGATATAGTTAATTGACAATAAATGTTTAATCCCACATTGGAAGTGGAGTAAAATTAAATAGCATTTATAAGGCCCTTGGAACAATTAAATTTCCAAAGGAGCCAAAGAGGATAAAGTGCCACGTATACGAAATGACAAAGACATTTGTGAAATACTTTTAAGGAAAGTGATTCTGTCTCGAAACCTACTTCTTGAAAGAACAACAACAAAAACCCATATACGAAATGACAAAGACATTTGTGAAATACTTTTAAGGAAAGTGATTCTGTCTCGAAACCTACTTCTTGAAAGAACAACAACAAAAACCCATATACGAAATGGCAAGACAAAGACATTTGAAAATTTGGAAAGATACGAAATCGCATTTGTAGGATCGATATCAATAGCTTTATCGGCTTAATAAAGATAGAGAGAAAGGCCGAGTGTCAAAAGAAGGATGTGGTGTATTTGTCAAATTCAAATTTCACATACCAAGGCAGCTGGGACGTGGCAGTTGTTTAGCGCTATAATATCAAAATTGTGGCATGCTAAAAAAGGAAGAAGGGTGTTTTAGTCTTTTCCAAAACGTTAGATGTTTTTATATGATAGATTTGTTTTAATATTATACTATTAGATTTTGAATGAACTCTTAATTTTTGATAAAATAGTACAAATATTTTTTTAACAAAAATCAAACAAGTCACAAGAAAAATGCACATAAATTAAAATAAACTCCACAAAATGGAAATAATAAAATAAAAAGTCCGGTTAAGACGGCTCAATTGATAAGTGTATAGAAATATCGAGTGCAAGAGCATAAATTTGAATCCATGAGTATTAGAGAGATGTGGGATATCAATAGCTTTATCGGCTTGGTTTATGGTTTCGTTAATGAGGTGTTACTAAGTAAAAGGAAGAATGATATGAAGAAAAAGAGGGAGAAGGAAGAAGAAAAGAAAGAAGGAAGAAGAAGAGAAGAGAGAGAGAGAAATAAAGATAGAGAGAAAGGCCGAGTGTCAAAAGAAGGATGTGGTGTATTTGTCAAATTCAAATTTCACATACCAAGGCAGCTGGGACGTGGCAGTTGTTTAGCGCTATAATATCAAAATTGTGGCATGCTAAAAAAGGAAGAAGGGTGTTTTAGTCTTTTCCAAAACGTTAGATGTTTTTATATGATAGATTTGTTTTAATATTATACTATTAGATTTTGAATGAACTCTTAATTTTTGATAAAATAGTACAAATATTTTTTTAACAAAAATCAAACAAGTCACAAGAAAAATGCACATAAATTAAAATAAACTCCACAAAATGGAAATAATAAAATAAAAAGTCCGGTTAAGACGGCTCAATTGATAAGTGTATAGAAATATCGAGTGCAAGAGCATAAATTTGAATCCATGAGTATTAGAGAGATGTGGGATTTCACATGCACTCAAGAACCAAACATAAAGACATATGACATTAATCTCTACGAGATTACATACTCAATGAATATGTTGAAGTCGAATTTATTGATGCACATAACTTATTGACGGATGTTTTCACAAAACCGTTAGCCAAAAAATGAAAGAACAATTTTATCAAATTCAAGGAGAGCTTGAGATATTGAATGAAATGATGTTTAAAATCTATAGAAAGTCAACATTACACGGATGTTTAACGTCATCCTCTTCAAACTTATATCAAGTTATATGATTATCGTTCTTCTTATATATATATTTTAATTTATAACCCCTTATGTGAATTAAAATGGTTTCTAATTTTTCATATGTGTTCTAACATGTTAATTAGAGTGTATATATGTTTTGTTATGTTCAAAAAGTATGCGTTTTTTTTCATACCTAATTTTTCTTTAAAAATAAATAAATTTTTTAAAAGTAATTGGTTACACTCTGAATGTATCTGGTTACAAGGTAGAAATTTGCATTTTTCTTTTAAAAGTTTTAAAAGGCGTGTTGTTGTAAATGGATACAGGTTTATGTTAATCAGTTACACCTATTCAATAATCACTTTTGATAATTGATTTTAATGCTTAATCAAGGTTCTTCCTCCCTCACTTGAAAATTTCTATCTATTAAAAGTTTCACTCACCTCTCAACAAATCCCCACGAAATACATTTAATATCCACTCATTTCTTACATTATAAATCAACCACATCTCTTAAATATTTCATCAAACACTCATCCTCTCCAAAATCTCCAAAAACATTAAACTTCCATTTTTAACTCAGTAGCAAAAATGGCACCTTTAAGAAATGATAGAGGTAAGAGAAAAGCTATTGATGACTCC